ATAACACGCAGTATGGCACCAAGTTGACTTAGCAACACAACATGGTCGAAGGTGGACCCAACAACACACACTATAGCCTAATTTGAGCCTAACAAAACACTATGGCCTCAGATGGACCTAATAACACTCACTGTGGCCCCTGCAGGACTCAGCAACACACATACAGTCCCCAGCCTGAGAGCACCGTGCCGGACTCCCCCTCTGACAGAACTAGGAAATGAAAAATGAAAGAACCGGAAAAGTCAATTGCAAAATATATAAAATTAAAATGGAGAGGAGAGAGGAGAGAGGGAAATAGTGTCGCTGTCATTCATGATTCTTCACATGTTTGGAACAACGTGTCTGGGAGAAGTCTTTGTTTACTTCGTGGCTCGTGTTTTAAGTATATTAAACATTTTACGAGGCTTTGAATGCCTTAACGTGTATAGGTGTACGCATATATTCCACATATCGTATGAATTAAATGTACTCTGACAAAAATTATACTGTTGCATTTATGCAAGAGTATAAGAATAGAAGACAATGCAGAAAGGTCTTTTCTTCCACTGCAGTTAGCTCCTATTTATGAGAAACAGGAAACACATATAAAAATTATTGGAAGTGATGATATTTCGGGCCGTCCTGGACCCTTTGTCAGATCTCAACTTCTCTACACATTTTCATCAACTTATATATTTTAATCGCGTCACCATTTACTTCTCTTCTATTTAGAGAGTGCAAATGAGGCTTAAATCTCACGTTATAGGGAAGGTTTCTAATTCTTTATGTTATCTTATTCATCATTCTGTGTTCGTGTTAAAATGACTTGTCCTTTCTATACGACTTTGACCAAAACTGAACTGCATAATCTAATTGCCTACTAACATCCCACAGCATACTGTGGGTGATATCCCCCAACAGCATACTGTGAGTTCTCCCACACCATTCGGAGAGCAGGATATCCCACTTATGGGTGAGGTCTCCCACACAACATACTCTGGATGAGAACTCCCCCATCCTCCGCTCCCACACACTCACCGCCAACAGTGTGTATATTTTCCCCCATCGTCCACTTCCATATCCTCATACCCTCGTTCTTGACATATCTTCTCATAAACACAATGCTCCAACACTGTCGTCCACAAGTGGTCCAGTGACAGTCTCTCTCTCTCTGGGAATGTGTCACGACATGCGTGAGGAGGCTTGGAAGGTTTCTCACACTTGCCATTGTTAACAAGAAACATTTCTCATAATTAATGTCCAGAGCCTAGACACTGTGTTTTTCCAGCGTTCTGAGAATTATATTTGTGTTCATTTGTGATAATATTCCAAAACAAACAAGTTATTCCGTTAGGTGATTGGAAACATAAGTAAGAAATAAGTTTAGATTCCGAGCGCTTTCGTGTATTTAACACATTATCATTGAGAACACTGAGGGATTTTTGGTTTAATATATTCAAACATGACAGATTAAGTATTATAATTCTAAATTATGTGATGATATGACATGGAAAACAGAAGACTTTAGATTAAGTTTAGTCAACTTTAAATTCCCACAAATTGTCCTTTTATGAAAACGTCTTATTTATATGTATTGTCAAGATCTTAAGTTTAAATAATGTTCATTACAACTTTTAATGCAAGATGAATCTTCTGACGGCACATTTACCATAGGCACCAAGACTCCCCGAAGCATGCAGGTCAAATAACTGACTTTATTATTATCTAAATGATCTCGTTTTCATTATTATATCTATTATATTTTAGTCTTATTATGTTTATCTTTATTATCTTTAGTGGCAAACCTTTGAGGCTTAAAATCCAGATGTGACTTTACAACAAGGTAGCTTTTGTTCTGACAAATGTTTTACACTATATCACAAAACAAAGACATAGACACACACGAAGAGACAGACATTGAAAGACAGAGAGGGACACACACAGAGAGAGAGAGAGAGAGAGAGAGAGAGAGAGAGAGAGAGAGAATTAGGCAGAGACAGGAACAGAAAGCCAAAGACAGACATAAAAGGGACGTGCTGACATACGTGGGGATGGGAAGAATGTTCCCATTTATTTTCGTTATTTCTCATAATTTTCTAGGATTTGTTTTTAGTGAAATTATACCGTGTTTATCGGCTCACCTGGTCACACACACACACACACACACACACACACACACACACACACACACACACACATACACACACACACACACATATATATATATATATATATATATATATATATATATATATATATATATATATATATATATATATATATATATATATATATATATATATATATATATATATAGTCACAATGGAAGTTTGGGGAATAAACCGATATCCCAATCAGCTTTCTTATGTTACATAAAGCACTAGACTTATTGTGACTCCGTACTCAACGTGCAAACGTGATAAAGATGGAGAAGGAGAAACAGGAGCTGAAGAGATAATAAGAAGTATGAGAGAATGAAGAGAATAATTAATATTTCTGAGTGGGATCCTCACACCAGAACTTCCTCCGAAGTTAAGCTGGAGAAATTCAGATTGTTGGCCTTGTCTTCAGAGGTCAAACGGTCATGAGGGCCTGTCGTCACCACATGTGGAACTATTCTTAATGTGATGAAGGAAAACAATTATTTTAAAACGTCTTCTGATCTAAGTTTTGGGATTCGGAAATTCTAAGTAACATCTAACACCAGAGCTCTCATAATGGTATCATGATCAAATACTAAATAATACAAAATAATACGCTGCAAAAAATATATATATCTACGAGGTCATTGCAATATCGTTTTGCTAAACATATACCTCTGACCTGCATTCACAAGCTTTTCTTAAAAGTAATGACCACAAACGTATTAAAAACACACTTGCTGGTTTCTGTCTTAAACTGTATTGAAGCTGCACTCGTAGACTGCTGCAGCTGAACTTTAGCACAAGATAGTATTTTCCAGTACCTCTGTGCGGCAATGCAGAAGGAACATGCCCTGCATTCTTAGTTCCTGCCAAATCCGATACATTTGAGGAACTCAGCAACATGTGACAATTAACTTTTACCTTTTATGTAGCTAATAATTTTTAATAAAGCTTAAAATAATGTAAACAATAATAACAAAATAAGTTGGAAGAAGACAATGTTCAAGTGAATGAAGAAGATTCTCAAAGCTTGTCAACGTGTCATCAGAAAAAATAATGATTTATTGCAGCCACAATGGACCTTGAGTGTCATGAAGTTTAGTGTACGTCCCATGGAATAGGTGTCACACAGTGTAATGAAGGTTCCTGGCAATTTCGTGTATGTGCTACAGTTCTCAATTAAGGAACCTTCTGTAGGCACAAACTTTGTGTAAGTGCCTTGTAACCTTGTGTAGGTGCCACTGATCCTTTCGTAAGTTATGCCTGGCAGCTCTTTTCATTCCACCATTCCCACATATTTCAGTGGTACGCTTAAAGCAATCCTGAAGAGCTCCAATGAGGATTGTGAGCTCGTATACTGCAATTAAATAAAAATTCTTTAAAATCCCCAAACCAATTATGGAAATACGAGTTGGCCAAAAGTTCTCCCTGTCGTTATTCCACACGGAAATCCTCATTCCTAGCAGATTTTTTGCTTTTTCTTTTGCTCTAGCGACAAACATAAAGTGTCTTTGTAAATAAAAATACAAAGAAAAAGGCTTCCGTTATACTATGTCGTGGTAGGTAACCAAACTCTTGAATACCTATGCTAAATTCTTGTGAGTCTGTCGCTCTCAAAATATGGCATAATTGCCCATATGGAATTCATAAAAAATCATATTTCAACATAGTGTCATCTTTCTTAAATAGGAGCTACCTTGTATGAGCCAAAAAACTCTTCTGCAGTCTCTTTAATTCTGGCGTTATCGTCCTCTTATTCTCTCATTTCACTTCATGTTTCTGTCCTCTTTTATTGTCTTCTTTCTATTTTTACCTCTTCTATCTTCTTCTTTGTTAATTCTCTTGCTGTCTTGACCCTTCTTGTTTTTGTGTCCGAACCACTTGAATTTGATTACAGAGCGACGGTCTCGCTTCTTGTTGGTCGGCTTTCAATCCCCGACCGTCCAAGTGGTTTGGCACCATTCCTGTCCTCCGCCCAATCCTAAATCTTTATCCTTCCTAAGTGCTATACTGTCGTAATGGCTTAGTGCTGCCTCCTAATGATTACCCCACCGTCTTGTTTTGTCTTCTTCTATCATCTTTCTTGTTTTTTGTATCTTATTCTGACTCCTTTCCCATGTTTTTTTCTTGTTATGTCTTCTTTCTTGTTTTCCTTTTTGTTCTGTGTTCTGTGCTCTTGTTTTCTCCCCCTTGTTCTGACTTTTCTTTCCTTTTTACTCGTGTGATGTCTTCTAATTTCTTAAAGAATGCGGTTTGTGACGGCTCCTGGGAGGGGTTCGACCTTGTGGTGACTCATTGCACCAGAGCTTGCGGTAAGCGAAGGATGTTACAGAGCTGGAGCCTTGCCAGAGGCCGTGTGCGATGTCTGCCGGTGAGAAATCCCTTTGTTTTGGCTGGTCACGAGGAGATTGTCGCCTGACCTACATTCTCTAGATTTTGTTTCAAGTCCGTTGTTTAAATGTTCGTTGTTGCGTGTTTACTCTCAAGTTATATTAACTCGTTGGTCGTAACCCTTGTAATTCATCGAGTCTGCAGGGAGTAATGACCCTAGCTTGCTGTTAAACAAGAGAGGCAGAAGTATTACTTTGGCATTACCTTTTGGTGTGTTGTAAGGACATGAGGTCATGTCCATATAACACGCTATTAACAGAAATGCTAAGGCTGTCCTAACTCAGTGTGGTGTACGAAATGGGACCGGCAGGAAGGGTGTGGGAAGGAAAGATGGGAGGCGGGAAGGGAAGGCGAGAGGTGGGAAGGAAAAGAGGACGTTCGACTCGACATATATATATCGGAGCCTCCCACCTCCTTTAGGAAGCTGCTGGCGTTTGACGAGGAGGAAGGCGCCAGGGTGGAGCCAGACGCGGGCCGCACCACCTCTTACCGCCTCAACTGCATTTTTAAAGGTGTGCTGCTGTAGAGGAGAGGTGGTCCTGCTTCTGTAGGGTAGAGGAGAGGTAGTCCTGCTTCTGTAGGGTAGAGGAGAGGTAGTCCTGCTTCTGTAGGGTAGAGGAGAGGTAGTCCTGCTTCTGTAGGGTAGAGGTAAGGTAGTCCTACTTCTGTAAGGTAGAGGTAAGGTAGTCCTGCTTCTGTAGGGTAGAGGTAAGGTGGTCCTGCTTCTGTAGGGTAGAGGTAAGGTGGTCCTGCTTCTGTAGGGTAGAGGTAAGGTGGTCCTGCTTCTGTAGGGTAGAGGTAAGGTGGTCCTGCTTCTGTAGGGTAGAGGTAAGGTGGTCCTGCTTCTGTAGGGTAGAGGTAAGGTGGTCCTGCTTCTGTAGGGTAGAGGTAAGGTGGTCCTGCTTCTGTAGGGTAGAGGTAAGGTGGTCCTGCTTCTGTAGGGTAGAGGTAAGGTAGTCCTACTTCTGTAAGGTAGAGGTAAGGTAGTCCTGCTTCTGTAGGGTAGAGGTAAGGTGGTCCTGCTTCTGTAGGGTAGAGGTAAGGTGGTCCTGCTTCTGTAGGGTAGAGGTAAGGTGGTCCTGCTTCTGTAGGGTAGAGGTAAGGTGGTCCTGCTTCTGTAGGGTAGAGGTAAGGTGGTCCTGCTTCTGTAGGGTAGAGGTAAGGTGGTCCTGCTTCTGTAGGGAAGAGGTTAGGTGGTCCTACTTCTGTAGGGTAGAGGTAAGGTGGTCCTGCTTCTGTAGGGTAGAGGTAAGGTGGTCCTGCTTCTGTAGGGTAGAGGTAAGGTGGTCCTGCTTCTGTAGGGTAGAGGTAAGGTGGTCCTGCTTCTGTAGGGTAGAGGTAAGGTAGTCCTGCTTCTGTAGGGTAGAGGTAAGGTGGTCCTGCTTCTGTAGGGTAGAGGTAAGGTGGTCCTGCTTCTGTAGGGTAGAGGTAAGGTGGTCCTGCTTCTGTAGGGTAGAGGTAAGGTGGTCCTGCTTCTGTAGGGTAGAGGTAAGGTGGTCCTGCTTCTGTAGGGAAGAGGTTAGGTGGTTTTGCTTCTGTAGAGAGGTAAATTGGTCCTGCTTAATTTGGGTAGAGGTAAGGTGGTCCTGCTTCTATATTGGAGAGATGAGTTGGTCCTGCTTATGCAGAGGTGCGGCAAAGATCGCCTGTAATTTGAACCTCGGTTTAAGGATAAAGTATGAATTTCCCTAAGAAGAGGGTTCAGGATAAGCGATAGAAAATGGTGACAGTTTTAAGTTACATACTTTTAGCTTGCTTATTATTTAGTCTTATCTCTCTATCGTTTCGGTTTGTTACTTTTGTTGACAGGTATTTTCTTATATATTGAATTTCGATGTTGTAGTTTACCTTTCTGCTGCATATTCAAATTGTGATTTTAAGTTGAGAACTGGATGTCAAATCTTTGTGTTTATGTGAAACCTTTACGCTTTTTGTAATTATATGTATTCTCTTGCTTCTCCTACATGCGTGCGCGCGTGCAGGAGAAGCATTGTGATGACTGGTGCATCTTTGAGCTGTGTTGACCTAGTCTACTGCTCCTTGAATTCTTCTCTATCTCATCAGCTTCGATTTCAAGGTAAAAAGATAAAAAAAAGCTTCAATATCAAATCATTGGTCACGAGTCACTCTCCATCTTGCCCACTTGCAGTTATCATGGAAATCGACCCCTCATGCTTTTTTTTTTTTTGTTGGAGATCAAGCCTTTTTAAACGGTCACAGAGATGGAACAAGGGAATACAACCGTTCTTTCCAGACTGAAAGGAAAGGATTGAATACACAAATATACACACACACACACACACACACACACACACACACACACACACACACACACACACACACACACACACACACACACACAGTTTCGGTAAGGTTAAACACTGTTCGTGGAGATAGGAATATCAAAGGAGTGAGAAACTCAGAGGTATAATGAAAGCGAAAGCAAGATCAGAATAGAAACTGGAAATACCATTGTAGATAAGTGAGAGAGAGAGAGAGAGTGTAACCCCAGCACTATACTCTGCCACGTAGAATGTATAATTAATCGAACATCGTGAGACCGACATGTATTCATCAAGCACAAACATTCGTTTAAAAAAGAACACAGCAATTGTTATTATTAATCCTCTGAGCATACTCAGATCACACAGTTTCACAACAATGTGAGCAGACTCTGAAAGGCAACCTTGCAAAAAATATTAATAAATAAATAAAAAATACAAAAAAAAAAATTATGTCAGTTCAGGTGCTGGGTGTCAAATCCCCATACACACCCAAACACCTGCGTCGACCGTCTAACACACGCACAGCTCACGGTAACTCTACCACAGCCAATAGTAAATCCCAATACCCCCCACAATAAATATATCAAGTATGTGACCGTCATATTCCCGTGACCCGCGACAGTGACGGTGTCCAATTTGCAATAAATCCCCAGAACTGTCACCACTAACGAACACCCACAACTCACCATTTTCTCAGCAATCAAAATTTTGGAGATCCGTCGACAGACATCAAAACATCGCAAATCTTTATTTGTCTGGGAAGAGATAGTACGAGAAGTTATATATCCCATTTATAGAATGAATCAAGAAATAAGATTTTATGACAAACAATTGTTTTATGTGTGGCTCAGTGTGTGAGTGGCCTAGTGGCCTAGCCAGTGGCCTCAGTGGCCTAGCCAGTGGCCTCAGTGGCCCCAGTGGCCTAGTGTGGTGAAGTTGGTTTAGTACATACATGCTATGCCAGTGCTGTGAAGCATCTGTGCTGGCGAGGGTTCAAGTCTCCTGGTGGGTGTGGGTGTGAGTGTGTCTAAAGTTATTAACTTCAAAACTTGTGGTTCAGGCAAGTTAGTGCATTTTATATATATTATATATATATATATATATATATATATATATATATATATATATATATATATATATATATATATATATATATATATATATATATATATAATAGCCAGATCACTGACTATAATGGTGAGTCACTATAGGTAGTGAGCTGGTGCAGGTAGGAGCAACTCACATATTGTATATAAAAAAAAGAGGCTTTGGGCAGAGGGAACAGCCGAAAAGGCAAATTCGAACACTTCTTTCGGGATGAAGGTATTGGAAGAGGGTAATCGGTATGCAGGAGATCCACCGTGGTAGGCGAGGCAGACGCAGGCCGTTCCTGCTGTGTCGTCTTCAGGAACGTCTGTACGATACAAATAAATAAAACTCCTTTTTCTTAGTTTTTTTTTCATAACAGATCGCAATAGATCCTTCCTGAAGAGTTACTCTACGTGCCTACTTTTCATTCCATTTCTCGCTCGTTTCAACCCCATTTGGACTGATCGATTCAGCAACGGCCTTTAAGCATACTCAGATCACACAGTTTCACAACATCATTATTTTCCGGTCCGCGTTCGATTCCCGAAGGTCCAAGTGGTAAGGCAACGTCGTATCCTATCCTTTCCCCCGTCCTATCCCAGATTTATGTCTTAATGTCCCTGCCAAGTGCTATATTGTCTTAGTAGCGAAGCGCTCTCTATTTATTATTACCTTATCCTTTTCACTCGTTAACATGTCTAACACTGACGTTTAATGAGTTATCACATATGACTACATAACAACGAACCCAATGACAGACGGACAATTGTAGTATACGATGCAGCTCCTTTACATTATAAGTATACACCCAATCTAATTCGTATATATATTTACTTCATATATATACATCCTAAAGTCTTTCAAATACCTCGACTCTGTGCCGGTCGAGGTTTGGGGAACGTCTAATCTGATGTGCTTCTGGGTTGCGGAACGCTTCTTATTCATTCTTAAGTGAATGGGGCTTCACTTAAGTCCTTTTTCCCCCATTCCAGGTCTCAGGAACATGGAATGGGGCTTAAGTGAAACACCTGGCACCCTCACCACAAACAGTGGCTTGAAACACTAAGTGCTTATCCTGAAGGTTGGAGTGTTATTCATATATGTCATGAACTCATTCAGATATGCCCAAAACTCATTCAAATATTTCCTAAATCCATTCATGTATACCCTAAACTGATTTAAATATACCCTAAACATTTTCTATTGTGGTTCTAAACTCATTCATATATATCCTAACTTCATTTATGTATATACTAAACACATGATGATGAATCGTAGGTTTTTGTGATACGTGGACATTTTAGAGGTGAGATGTATACGAACATGTTAGTGGTGAGGGATTCGTGAACATGATAGAGGTAAGAGACATACAGACATGACAGGTGAGGGACACACACAGACACGATAGATGAGTGACAGAGACATGACAGGGGGAAAGGAGACACAGACATAACCAGGTGAGATACAGAGGTAAGTATCTCAGCCCTTAATGTGTAACTCATGACCTCCGAGTGCTGTTCAGGCCGGCAAATTAGGCTCATAATTTAAACAGGCAATACACAGGGTAATTAAGCCATGAACATATTTAACTCAATTTAGGCACAATGCCTGAGAGCGATAATTAATTATGGAACCTGCTATGATTAATTATTAATCGTTAAAGACGAAGTTTTCATTCGTATTTATATAACATAGTTTCGAGGCCGGTAATGTTATAGATGATTATAGACACAAAATGTTGTGATTATGGACATATTATTTCGAGGTTTATCAAAGGAATAATAGCTCACTAAAAACGTTTTTTAAGTAAACCAAATATTCAGGTTATATTCAATAGTAGATAAACAGCAATTTGCATTTGTGAGGAAATTATGAGGAGAAACCACTAATCCAGTGTGACTATGTAGTTTTAAGTGTGAACTGTTTATTTCGTAAGAATATCACCAAAGGACTTTGGCATTTACTATTTTTATGGAAATTCGTGTTCATTAGATCTAAAAGTGTGCTAAATAGTCTACAGGAAGTTTAACAAGTGTATTATAATGCTAAAAAATAATGTATGTCCTATTTCTATTGCTTCTAGGCATGAATCCAAGATTCCACTTCCTTTATTTGAACGTTTAATAATTCATTTCTTAAATTTAGATTCATAATTTGTTCGTGTTGAGTAGGATTTCCGCTCTATTCAGATAATATTTCGAAACTATTATCTTTTCCTAAGCTTAAACTCCCACAAATGTCATCATTAAGCTGCTCAATATGGCTAACTATTCACATTCGAGACAATGTTACATCAGCATATTAATACTACACTCATAAAACAGTATTGTGTAGTAGTGTGACAATATTGTTGTTTGATATTCCCATGTACACCCTAAATAAACACGCTATATATACAGGGTGACCGCGTGATTATTTTCAGGGTGATTTTATGACATTATATTTATGGAAGTGCAATTACTTATTTTTGGGCTATAAAGTGTATCTAAAATGTAAACAAAAATCAACAAAAATATTTTTTTAATAGGTCAAAAGTCAAAATAGAATTCCAAGACAGTCAAGAGTCACAGCCACCTCAACATACGTCTGATATCCTTCTTGCGAATTGTTCTCAAGATAGTTATTAACTAGAAACCATTTCAGTTGAACGAATCGCCTTTCTCATACCCAAGATCCTACAGGTACCAAAGAAGGAGCCCGTATCTTATCTTACTCTTCATTCAGAACACAGATAATGTCCGGTACGCTGTCTCGCTTCTTCCTCACCAAGGACGGAAACCTCCCTCTGTGGTCGAGAAATTCTTGTCTTATTCCCTAAGAAGAATCCGCAATACAAGTTCTTAACAGGGCAATTGAGCTCGTTCTTTCTCCCGTCATGAAGCTGTTGCCTCCAATTTGGAGTTCAAATTGGTCAATAAAGCCGTGAAGTGTTGCAGACGGAGGAGTTGGTGTCGAGGACGGCGTACGAGGGCTGAAGGTATTACTGGGGTGAGGCAGCCATAACGCTGGCTGGTCTTGTGGTAGTTTCTGGTGTGTAGTGTTGCAGGAACACGGGAGGCTACTGGTGTGTAGTGTTGCAGGAACACGGGAGGCTACTGGTGTGTAGTGTTGCAGGAACACGGGAGGCTACTGGTGTGTAGTGTTGCAGGAACACGAGACGC